AATATTTTTAATGAAAAAATTTAACAAAGTTAGTGGTTAAACTAAAATTACCAAATTAATTTAGTACGAGGACAAAATTTGTATGAATTAAACTATAAAGACTAAATTTCAAATTTTAATTTAGTATAAGGACTGGTGACATAATTTGACCAGGGAGAGGCATGGCCGCTATCTGCCCCTAGCTAAGTCCATGCTGTGCATGTTCGATTTATTTACACTTATAGGTATAAACAAACCAATTGCTTGATGAACAATTCATGAACTAATTCAATATCAATTTGTTATTAAATTTAATAAATGATTAATATTTCAAAATTTATTAATTAAACAAATGGATGATAAACATAAAAATATTTTTTTCATATTCGACGTATTTATGCACTCTAATTGAAATCTTTATTTATCAATTCTTACTGAATCAATTGTCGTTTATGCCATATTGTTGTCTACATGGCATATACATGGCAATGTAAAGACTCCTAAATTACTAATGTGATACTAAAACTAAACTCGCTTCATTCAAGGATAATTTTTATTTTTAAATTATGTTTAAATAGGAAAGAAGTAAAATTTTTATGCTGAGTTTTAATGGATGATAAACCATAGCACAATATAAGTGTATTTATTTTTTAATATAAATTATAATTATATATAAATATAGTTTTGCATTAAATTAAGGTATAAGTTAATATTATAGACACCCAATTTGGTCCAGGCCTAGATCAATTGGGCCTGGTCCAAATGAGTAAGCCCATTTACATTTTTATTTTTATTTATTTATAAATATATTTATTATTATTATTATTTATCTATTAATCTTTTTTATTTATCTATTAATATATATACATTTTTATTATTTATCTATTAATGTATATTTTTTATATTTATTTTTTATTATTATTTTTATTTATCTATTAATAATTTTTTTTATATTTATCTATCAATGTATATTTATCTATTATGATTATTATTATTATTTATTATTATTATTATTTTGATTGGTTTATCCGGTCTGAATTCTATTTTAATTATAATTATTGGTTCTAGAAGGGGGTTTGGCCGTAAATCAGGGGACTGGGAGAGTTGGGATTGGATTCAAAGATTGAATCCAAATCACAGAGGAAATTGAGATTGATCAGAAACTCTTCTGATCAATCCCTATAAATAGGTGTTGAAACAAAATCCAAGGGGACAGAAAAAAACACACACAGAGAGAAAACAGAAGCTAAAAAGGCTCTGATGCGTTAGATACAGCTTTAGGAATTTGTGTGAATTTTTTTAGAATTTTTGAAGTTTTTTTCTTGGAAAATTTTTGGAAATTTTCCAGAATCCGACGAAATTTTTCGGCAAACCTTGAATTTTTCGACAAGTTTTCCAGCCAACTTTGAAGTTTCTAGGGTTATTTTCTAGAATTCGATAGAAATTCAACTGGATTCTGGGTTGTGCTCTTCGGGTATAGAGAAGGAGGAGAAAGCTGAGGGGAAGAGAGAGAAGGGGGAAGGCGCATCTAAAGAAAAAAACCCATTCTTTACCTTTTATACTTGCGCAAAATGACATCGTTTTAGTATTAGTACGTTACTAGGATCCGCGTGTTTTTGTTTGGACTGACCCGACCCGATCGTTACCCGATTCGTTAACCTACGTGCTAGCCGATCCCTGAAGCTGAGTCGAGCCGAGCCGACTTCCCCGAGCCACGTCTTCGAGCCGTCTTTTCTATCTTGAACCGAGCCGTTTTTCAGCCGAACTGAGTCATTCCAAAGGTTTTTTTTTCTTTCTTATTTATTATTATTATTATTTCTTTTATTATTGTTATTATTGTTATTTATTGATTAGATTAGAATTATTTAGTATTCTTTATTTTATTTTATTTTTATTTTATTTTATTTTATTTTTTGATTTTCTTTAAATAAAATTCCAAAAAACAAATATTTTTTAGAAAAAGTTGAAAGCATCAATTTTTCTTGAAGATAAATTTTTTAAAAAATATTTCTGAGGAAAAGTTGAAAGTATCAATTTTTTTAAAAAATAATTTCCTAAAAAATATTTTTTGAGGAAAAGTTGAAAGTATCAATTTTTCTCGAAATTAAAGTTTCAGAAAAATATTTTGGAAAAAAGTTGAAAGTATCAATTTTCTTTGTACAAAAGCAATGAATTTTTGAGGAGAGAAGGATTTATATCTAAAGCTGAATCATTATTCTTTTTTTTTCATTTTATTTTTTTTTTAATTTTCTTTAATGTTAAATAATCCGACGATAGAGCCTCTACAAGTGAAAAGTAGTTTTCTTGCATACTCTTGAGGTGAGGGAATTTTTTCAATTTTTTGCTAAAAGTATTAGAGTCAATTGAGAATAATTTTTCAATAATTAATTACTTGATAAATTTTTAAGGCTTATTGGATAACACAAAATTAAGTCGGTACCATCTTTTGATGGGCGTTGTGAGGGTGCTACAACCTTCCTTACACGTAACTGTACTCCCGAACCCTGTTCTGGTTAGTAGACCTGAACCTATTCTTTTAGGTACCCTTTGACTTAGGTGTTCTTTAAAAGGATAGATTCCTTAGGTGGCCAATCGCACCTAGATAAAAAAGATTGGTGGTGACTCCTAATGCTAATATCTAGTGATAGATCTCCGGATCTAGACGTTATAACAATTTAACAACTTCACTGGGGATATCAAAGCCGAGAGTTAGGTCAGCAAATAAATTTGTGTTATCCAAAAGCCTAATAAAATTGAACCTTTTGTATAGATTTTTATTCATTCATGTTTATTTACTCTATGAGAGAGTAAAGTGCCTATTGCTTTCGTTGGGTTTAATGCCTCCGCAGTGGCTAACGAAATACTCCCACTCAAATTGAATATTTTTCGCTTGTAGCCTATAATGGGTGAGGATTATGGTGCCTTACTAGTTTGTGATGGATAATGATGTAAGGAGCAATTTGGGAACCTTTAGACTTTAACCTCAAGAGTGCCTAACCTATAGATAGAGCCATCATCTTTCCCTTTTAGAATTGACCAAAAGCATAGGGTTTATTCCTCTTATTTTGTGTGATGTTTTAATTTACTTAGTTATTTATTTATTCTTTTTTTTGGCATACTAACATTTTCTCTCATTCTTTTGCATTGGTTCATACTCATATCATAAAGTTGCATAAAGAACATTTACTTGAAAGACGATCTTCAACAAAAAATGTTGCATGGGAATGATTAGTTTGCTCTTTATCTGTATTAGCTTCTTGTGAGCTATCCAATGAAGTAAAAATCCAATCAGAAAAGATGCAACTAAAGATAGGGGATTGTTTACCGATCGGCTATGATTCTACCCTATCTCAAGAAACATCTATCATTCTCAAACAAAATAATCTAGAAGAATTGGTTGATATATGGAAGAAGATGAGCCCAGCTAAACAAGAGAAGTTTTGCCAGAGACACTGGCATATAGCACACATTCTCGCAGTAGTTATCGATGATCAACTAATCAGAGCTGTAGCGCAATTCTGAAATCATGCATACAAGTGTTTCATCTTCAATGAAGTTGATATGACACCAACCATCCAAGAATATTCGACTTTGTTGGGTTTGCACTTCATGGCTCCTGATAAAATATATGTAAAAAAACACAAGTCAGGATTTCATAAGGGTTTGGCTCGACCCAAGGAGATAGACAAAGAAGTTGTGGATTCTCATACAAAAAAGAAACAAGAATAGGTTTGCCTACCTTGGAAGTTCCTTCATGAGTTTCTAGTACAACATGCCAATGAAGAACGGGGGTTAGATGTATTTGCCTTAGCTATATACGGAATGGTGATATTTCCAAAGGTTTTGGGTTATATTGAAATAGCGGTGATTGACTTCTTTAAGAGTGTGATCAATGGTTGTAACCTTTCAACAACAATATTAGCAAAGACTATTAGATCTTTGAGTTACTGTTGTCAGAATGGAGAGCGTTTTATAGACTGCATACAGTTATTATACTTATGGATGAAAAGCCACTTCGAATGGAGAAAATGTCCGCAATCGAGCTTCGATCAAGGAATTCTGTGAAAGTGGATGGTCATAACAAAAATCTAAAAAGGAGTGGATAGCTTTCCTACAGAAATTGACCAGTGGATATCTAATAATACTTATATTTTTGGTCTTTGGTAATGTTTGAGCATGAATAGAGGCTCCTTGCGTTGCAATAACATGTAAATTAATTCTACCATTACTTCATTACTATTACTATGAAATTCTAGAGTTAAAGTATATAATACGGCATCCTAATGCAGAGGAATTTAAAATTCAAGTATACAGTATATATTATTAAAATATGTTTTAATAATATACATTATTGGTGGAGTTACAAAATAAAAAGTTGACATGTGCTGTTTAAAATATATTTTAAAAATTTATATAATTTAATACAATAAAAAATAATTCTTTTGATATCATTAATAAAATTTAAAAACTCAACTTACCATGTCTGAAATAATATTTAAGCTAAAATATTAAAAGCATTCCCAAATTTTATCATTTTATTTAGATAAATTCTTCTATTTTTATTTTACTTAGATAAACTCTTGCTTTTTGATTTGTATCTAAGTATGCTTTTATTATGATAAGAATTTATTTGAATAAAAATCAAAATTTAAGGGTTTACTAGGATGTAACATAAAGATTATAAATAAATTATTCTAAATGATGTTGAATTACATTAACTGATTCTTTTAGTTGTGAATTTTTATAATGCTACAAAGTTTATTCTCCAAAACAAAAATTATGTTATGAAATTTGTTTGGGAGAAGTATAGCACCACATATCCACATTAAATTAATATGTTCTACAATATATTGCCCAACTGATTGGTTTCTTTTTATTTATTTTTTTGGTAAACAGGAATTATATTATTAAGAACTTTTTTGGGTATATGTGGCTTGATTGCACTTATTATATGCAAATTAAAAAGGAGACATTTGTCGGCGGATGATGCCATTGAAAATTTTTTACAGAGTCAAAACAATCTGATGCCTATAAGATATTCTTATTCTGAAATAAAGAAAATGACACAAAATTTCAAGCATAAATTAGGTCAAGGAGGTTATGGTTCTGTGTTTAAAGGAAAACTTCGAAGTGGTCAACTTGTTGCAATACAATTGTTAAGCAAATCGAAAGCTGATGGCCAAGATTTCATTATTGAAGTTGCAACTATTGGAAGGATACATCATGTTAATGTGGTGCATCTTATTGGATTTTGCGTGGAGGGATCAAAACAGGCACTTGTATATGATTTCATGATAAATGGATCCTTAGATAAAATCATATTTTCAACGGACAATAACACTTTGAATTGGCAAAGAATGTTTGAGATTGCTTTGGGAGTGGCTCAAGATATTGAATATTTGCACAGAGGTTGTGAAATGCAAATTCTACATTTCGATATCAAGCCACATAACATTCTTCTGGATGAGAACTTTACTCCAAAAGTTTCAGATTTTGGCCTCGCAAAATTGTATTCAGTGGATGATAGCATCATCTCTCTCACAGCAGCACGAGGTACACTAGGATACATTGCTGCCGAGTTGTTTTACAAAAACCTTGGAGGCATTTCATATAAAGCAGATGTTTATAGTTTTGGAATGATGTTAATTGAAATGGTTGGAAGGAGGAAGAACTTGGATCCATTTGCAGAACATTCCAGTCAAATTTATCTTCCATCATGGATTTATGATCAACTTGATCAAGGAGATGTCATGGAGCTTGAAGATGTGACAGAAAGTGAAAACAAAATTCTGAGAAAAATGTTGATAGTTGCCTTTTGGTGCACACAGATGAAGCCCACAAATCCTCCTTCAATAAGCAAAGTGTTGGAGATGCTAGAAAGTGAAGCTGAACTGCTTGAAATGCCTCCAAAGCCTTTTCTACTTTCTCTCGATAAAGCAACTAAAGATGGTGAGAATTCTGGGGACAACCACATCACTTAATGTTAGAAAAATAATGTAATACAAAGCTATAAGATACAGCTTGTTAATACTTGATTGTCTTATGAATTTGTAAACTTCTTGTAGCCCTATTGTTGAATAATTGGAGTTTAGCAATTATGGACCTACAAAAAAAAATGAAATGACTTCAAGAGATATTACGAATTTCACTTTCCTTACGATTTATTTCACCCAAACTAGTTATAGTATGCAACAAAAATGAATCGAAATGCATCTAAGATACAATAAAGTTTTATTTGTTTATACTTTATAGTAATATGACAAACCATTAAACACTCCTTACTAGAAATAGAAATACCTTGTCTTTCCAAAATTTTTTATATCCTCCTTAAATTTGGATCAATTTTATATAAAAAAAATCATTTTAAAAGTAAGAAAACAAAAGATTATTCTCAAATACACCCATGTTGGAATTTTTTTAAAATATATATAACCTATAATACTTGAGCCGATGTCAATTTAAAGAAGCTCTAACGTGGTTGTATTTTTTTTTATTTTGGCTATTGTCAAGTTAAAAGCCTTCAATAAAGATATTTTATCTAAAATTATTATAATATAATTAATTTATTATAATTTAAAATTTATATAAAATTTACACTTATAAATAATAATTCTTACATGACATTTTATTATAATTAAATAATTATAAAATTATAATAAAAAAATTTGTTAGCGATGTACTCCTCTCCGACGTAAGTAAATTTTTTGGCCGGTATCAAGTTAATACGCAATTTGAACGGCTTGTGTTAAATTTTCCACATTCTTATTGACTGACTTTCCAAAATGAAGGCTCAGTTTGATACTTTTCTTAGTAGCTGTTGGCACCACACAATTTATCGATGATAAGAAAATTTCCAAATGCTTGTTTTCTTGCCTGAGCTGAACTCGTTGGTCTTTGCTAATATCCTTGTCTCCAATTCCTCTGAAATTTTAGGATGCTAAGACCGAAACTTCCATTGTTTTGCCTCCTTGCCCTTGCTTTCTCTCTATTCCCTGATGCTTGCGTCGCGAGACGCAAGCACTGTGGCTCAACTTTCCGTGGAAATATTACTATTTGATATCCTTTTCGATTAAATAGCCAGCCTCACAAATGTTTTCACAAGATGGATTATTATTATTAATAATTAATAATTTTTAATATTTTACTAGTTATATTAATATTATTTAAAAAAACAGATTTTTTTAAAAAATAATCGAATAACAAAAAATATTTTTCATTAACTCATCCAAATAATAAAAAATCTCTTTTAATTTAAAAAATATAGATATTTTCCAAAAATTATTTTTTAAAAATTATGTTTTGCAAAATAAAAGAAACTTAAATTAGGTCAAGAAGGCTATGGTTCCGTGTTTAAAGGAAAACTTCCAAGCGGCCAACTTGTTGCAATAAAATTGCTAAGCAAATTGAAAGCGGATGGCCAAGATTTCATTATTGAAGTTGCAAGTATTGGAAGGATACATCATGTTAATGTGGTGCAACTTATTGGATTTTGTTTGGAGGGATCGAGACAGGACTTGTATATGATTTTATGATAAATAGATCCTCAGATAAAATCATATTTTCAAATGACAATAACACTTTTAATCGGCAAAGAACGTTTGAGATTGCTTTGAGAGTGGCTCGAGGTATTGAATATTTGCATAGAGGTTGTGAAATGCAAATTCTACATTTTGATATCAAGCCACAAAACATTCTTCTGGATGAGAAGTTTACTTTCGAAGTTTCAGATTTTGTCCTCGCAAAATTGTATTCAGTGGATGACAGCATCGCACGAGGTATACTAGGATACATTGCTCCTGAGTTGTTTTACAAAAACCTTGGAGGCATTTCATGTAAAACAGATGTTTGTAGTTTTGGAATGATGTTAATTGAACTGGTGGGAAGGAGGAAGAACATGAATCCATTTGCAGAACATTCTAGTCAAATTTATTTTCCATTATGGATTTATGATCAACTTGATCAAGGAGATGACATAGAGGTTGGATATGTGACAGAAAGTGAAAACAAAATTTTGAGAAAAATGTTGATAGTTGTCTTTTGGTGCATACAGATGAAGCCCGCAAATCGGCCTTCAATGAGCAAAGTCCCGGATATGCTCGAAAGTGAAGTTGGGCTCCTTGAAATGCCTGCCAAGCCTTTTCTACTTTCTCTCGAAATGGCAACTAAACATAGTGAGAATTCAACGACAACCACATGGTCCTGGGAATATTTTGTAAGTAACTACTTAAGTTATGCAATATTGTCTCAAAATTTTATTATATATACAGATACTGATATACTAGTTTTAAATTTCATAATTATTTAATTTTTGTAACCCCGTTTATATAATAATCTTATATATACGTGGGATCAAATTGGGATATAAATATTTAAATAAACAATAGAAAAATTAAGGCTTAAAATTAAATCTTAGAATTATTTAATTTTAAAATTATTTAATTTTAATTCAAGATTTTTTTTTATTTAAGCCAAAAATCAAGAGCAATATGTATCAGTGATGTAGAATTTATTAAAACATGGTGCCCTTTGAGATGTAATAAACCCCCAAAAAATTATATGATAATTAAGTATTATATATATTATTGTGTGTAAATGGGTCTTTTATGGGCTAGAATTTAAAAAATGTTATAGGGTATGCCGGGAATAACAAAACTCTCATACTAAATTGGCAGTATTATATGTATACTCACACATGCACTAGAATATTTGAATTTGTGATAAATTTTTTTATTTTATAATTTATGTACATATCGTTTTAAATAATTTTGTTTATATTCTATCGAAGGGTTGTAGTGATCTCCCTACCCTGCGGGCTTACACGGATGAATTACAAAGATATTTTTTTTGGTTGGGTCACGATTTTTTTATTTATAATTATCAGAATTTAATTCTTAAATGATCATATGATTGTTGACGTTTGTGGGATTTTTTTTGGTTATTTATTGATAGTGTGGAAAATCAGTACCCACGAGATGTGACTGGCTTAGTGTTGAAGTGCTTCATGGTTTGGCTTTAATTAGTTGACTGACTTTTTAAATCAAGGAAGACTTTTTTTTATTATTTTTTTGATGATAAAGGAAGACTTGGTTTCCAATATGTAAGATGAAGATAAATAGAATTCTTCACTAATTGGCTTGCCTAAATTTAATTAAAACGAGTCCCTTAATCTCCTTCTCTCCCACTGAAACTTTAGGATGCAGAGACCAAAACTTCCATTATTTTGCCTCTTGGCCCTTGCTTTATCGCTGTTGTTCCCCCATGCTTGCCTTGCTAGAGTCATACACAAATATTGTGTCTCTAATTTCTGTGGAAGCGTTAACATCAGTTACCCTTTTAGATTAAAAACCCAGCCTCGCAGCTGTGGTTTTAATGGGTTTGAGCTAGTGTGCGAGAATAACCGTACCATTTTCCCCATGAAATATGGGAATTTCTATGTCCAACACATCTCTTATGTTAACCGAACGATTCATCTTCTAGATGTGAGTCTTGTCAAGGATAACTGCTCCATTCCTCATAGCTCCACTCCTTGTTACACCCCTTCAGGAAAAAGCCTAGAAATCTATGGAGACTATTATAAAGCTGAATATAGCGAGATGTATCTGGTAAATTGCAGGATGAAGATGAACAACTCTACGGTTTTCATCGATGCTTCTCGTTGCACCAATCACTCTCCCTCTCCAACTCCACTTACTAATTTCTTTTATTTTTTGGATGGAAGAACAACACTGTCTAATTTCCATCAGTCATGCACAGTTGAAGCCCAGGTTCCGATCATGCTTTCTAATATAACGGGCCTCTCTACTTTTGATATTTACGAAATGCTGATGATGGGCGTCCACCTCTCCTTTGACACTTACGCTTTTGCCGGCTTCTTGGTTTGGAACTCGGTTGTTAACGTGTGAGGATTTTTTTAGTGTTACAAATAGATATTTAGAGCCTTTTAGCTTATGAAAAATATATACTCTTCATTTCAATTGAATGTCCAACTTCAACTAATTTTGACCCTAATTTTTTATGATATCGTGGGAAACTATAAATTTTTTTTTTTAAATTGAGTTTAAGATTTCTCAAAACTTTATATTTTAAAATTCTACTAGAGTTTTGTTTGACTGAAAAAATTTGAAAATAAACAGAGGGATTATTATTTTTATACAAAATAAGTATAAATATATATATATGAACAATAACCAAATTTGAAAATTTTTAGTTTTTAATTCTTTTTAAAGGTTGACGATTATTTATAACCATTTTCTTTAACTCTGTATATAAATTTATAAACATAAATCCCATCTCATCGTTTCCAGAATTTAAACCTAATATTTTCGTATTGGACTCTCAAATTTTTATCTTTGTAGAGCCTATTTAGAACTTTGGTTATTTGCTTAATTTTACTGTTTAGAGTAAAATTTTTAATTGAGGAATTTAGAACATTTTGACACTAATTAAGGATTAACAGTTTTGATGATATTTTTTGAATGAATATTACTTCTAGATTGCGATCGTTGGCCTACGCACTGCTGGAGGCGATTGCAGTATATATAGAAAACAACCTGGCTTTCTTTCTGCAAGGCACCTCACTAAAGCGTTTTTTCGTTGCTGACCCAAATAAAGGTATTGTTTTGGGAGTTCATTGGTATTTTGATTATTGGAATTAATTTGCCTCCGCATTTCTAGTATCTAATAATACTTATATTTTTGGTCTTTGGTAATGTTTGAGCAGGAATAGAGGCTCTTTGCGTTGCAATAACAGGTAAATTAATTCTACCATTACTTCATTACTATTACTATAAATTCTAGAGTTAAAGTATATAATACGGCATCCTAATGCAGAGGAATTTAAAATTCAAGTATACAGTATATATTATTAAAATATGTTTTAATAATATACATTATTGGTGGAGTTACAAAATAAAAAGCTGACATGTACTTTTTAAAATATATTTTTAAAATTTATATAATTTAATATAATAAAAAATAATTCTTTTGATATCATTAATAAAATTTAAAAACTCAACTTACCATGTCTGAAAAAATATTTAAGCTAAAATATTAAAAGAATTCCCAAATTTTATCATTTTATTTAGATAAATTCTTCTATTTTTATTGTACTTAGAAAAACTCATGCTTTTTTATTTGTATCTAAGTATGCTTTTATTATGATAAGGATTTATTTGGATACAAATTAAAATTTAAGGGTTTATTAGGGTGTAGAATAAAGATTATAAATTTATTTGGATGCACTAAAAATATAGAACTTTTTTAAATAAAGTGATAAAGTTTAGAAAATTTTGTATTATTTTAGCTAATACTTAAATATTTGTGAATGCATAAAAGAGGCTCCCATAAAGAATTAAACAGCTGCATAAAAGGAAAATCCACTATAAATGATTCTGAATGATGTTGAATTACATTAACTGATTCTTTTAATTGTAAATTTTTATAATGCTACGAAGTTTAGTCTCCAAAACAAAAATTATGTTATGAAATTTGTTTGGGAGAAATACGGCACCACATATCCACATTAAATTAATTAGTAAATGAATATTCATATGTTGTACAATACATTGCCCAACTGATTGATTTCTTTTTATGTATTTTTTTTTTGGCAACTAGGACTTTTATTACTAAGAACTTTTCTGGGAATATGTGGCTTGATTGCACTTATTATACGCAAATTAAAAAGGAGACATTTGTCGGCGGATGATGACATTGAGAATTTTCTACAAAGTCAAAACAATCTAATGCCTATAAGATATTCTTATTCTGAAATAAAGAAAATGACACAAAATTTCAAGCATAAATTAGGTCAAGGAGGTTATGGTTCTGTGTTTAAAGGAAAACTTCGAAGCGGCCAACTTGTTGCAATAAAATTGTTAACCAAATTAAAAGCTGATGGCCAAGATTTCATTAGTGAAGTTGCAACTATTGGAAGGATACATCATGTTAATGTGGTGCGACTTATTGGATTTTGTGTGGAGGGATCAAAACAGGCACTTGTATATGATTTCATGATAAATGGATCCTTAGATAAAATCATATTTTCAACAGACAATAACACTTTGAATTGGCAAAGAACGTTTGAGATTGCTTTGGGAGTGGCTCGAGGTATTGAATATTTGCACAGAGGTTGTGAAATGCAAATTCTACATTTCGATATCAAGCCGCATAACATTCTTCTGGATGAGAACTTTACTCCAAAAGTTTCAGATTTTGGCCTCGCAAAATTGTATTCAGTGGATGATAGCATCGTCTCTCTCACAGCAGCACGAGGTACACTAGGATACATTGCTCCTGAGTTCTTTTACAAAAACATTGGAGGCATTTCATATAAAGCAGATGTTTATAGTTTTGGAATGATGTTAATTGAAATGGTTGGAAAGAGGAAGAACTTGGATCCATTTGCAGAACATTCCAGTCAAATTTATCTTCCATCATGGATTTATGATCAACTTGATCAAGGAGATGACATGGAGCTTGAAGATGTGACAGAAAGTGAAAACAAGATTCTGAGAAAAATGTTGATAGTTGCCTTTTGGTGCACACAGATGAAGCCCACAAATCGTCCTTCAATGAGCAAAGTGTTGAAGATGCTGGAAAGTGAAGTTGAACTCCTTGAAATGCCTCCAAAGCCTTTTCTACTTTCTCTCGAAACGGCAACTAAAGATGGTGAGAATTCTGGGGACAACCACATCACTTAATGTTAGAAAAATAATGTAATACAAAGCTATAAGATACAGCTTGTTAATACTTGATTGTCTTGTCTTGTAAACTTCTTGTAGTCTCATTGTTGAATAATTAGAGTTAAGCAATTATGAACCTTCAAACATGAACGAAATGACTTCTGGACGTACTACAAATGTTACTTTCCTTAGTTTATTTCGTCCCAACTAATTATAATAAGCCAAAAAGGTGAATCAAAACATTTCCAAAATACAATAAAGCCTTATTTGTTTATATTTTGCATTAGTATAACAAACCACTAAACACTCCATAGTAGGAATAGAAATACATTATCTTTTCAAAATTTTCTGCAAAAAACAATGCAAAAGCAACTTTTAATTGAGAAAGTAATGGAAGAAAGAAGAAAGTAGTTTAGAATTAAATTGGATGTTCAAATAAACTCACATCAATCTCTATATTTATAGAGAATGGATCTTAAAATTGTGACTCTTTAATTATATTGTTCGAAATAATCATCACATCTTTTGATTAAAAACACACATTTCTGAATAATTACATATGTAATTATTCATCTTTAATAAATGAAAAATCACTTTTTGAATAATTAAAACTTATTCCAAGAAAAGTAATTTTTCACATTTCAGAACTTTATAACTTTTGAACTAAGGCAGACAATTGCTATAATCAGGAATCCGACTGTCTTACTGTATTTTCATTACAGACCATTTTTTGACAAGCAATGCAATCAACTGCCCTCTGATAGGCATCTGACTGTCCAAGTTGATTTCAAAAACAAAATGCTTTCCTGACTGGGCATCCGATTGCCTAACAGTCACCTTATAACAGAAGCTATTCCCTATTTTCATGGAAGCTCTATTTGTCGACTTCCTTTGTTATGTTATTCGACTAACCCTAACCAAAGCTTAATTCAAGTTTTTTTTTTTTTCACTTGGTTTCTTATTATTTTGAAAATCATTTCTAACACTTATAAATGTTGATATAGAAAAATCACGAGCAATATGAACTGCTGATGTAAAAATTATTAAAACATGGTGCCTTTTAAGATGTAATAAACCCCAAAGAATTATGTGATAATAAGTATTATTTATATAGAGTTAATCTCATGAACGACCTTTTAAATTATAATAAAATGTTTAATGCGGTACCTGAATCTTAAAAATCTCTAATATAATATCTAAATTATGAATATATTAACTAATGTGGTATTCACCCATAAACGTGAAATGATGACACATGATAGACAAACAACTCTCTAAGTATCATATTATTTAATAAATTTATAATTTAAGTATCACATTAAAGAGTTTTAGAGTTCATATACCATATTAAACATTTCATTATAATTTATGAGTCATTCATGATATTAACCCAATTATATATCATATGTAATTGGTTCTTTTCTAGGCTAGTATTAAGAAATGTTACAACTTACAATAACATCAACAATTCTAGGGATTAAAGTGATATGTTGGAAAACAAATACGAATGATAAAATGACAAATAACAGAACTTTTCTACCATATTGGTAGAGTATTACATATACTCTTAGATATGCTAGAATTTCTGAATTTATGATAGACTAAAAGATTAAAAAAATTGTCGAATAAAAATTCAATTATTATTCAACCTTCTATCATTTTATTGTAACAAATTAAATTCTTAAACATTTATTTTCATTAATTAAGTTTTTATTAGACAAAAATTGGTTAAATTTTAACATCTATTTTTATCTAATCAAAGGTTCGATTGAGATAAAATAGATGTTTAAAAGTTCAATTGGATGAAAATAAATGTTTAATGATTCAACTGGTCCTAAATATAAAATTAAAATTTTCATTTATTACAATAAAATTTCAAAGAATTAATAATTAATTAAATTTTATTTGGTGGCTTTTTTTTGTCATTTTTTCTTTATGATACTTGGATGACAGTGAAAGAAATTAAAAAATCAATTTAAAAGTAAGGTCAAGAATGAAAATATATGTATATATATATATATAGTCTGATACTAACATTAATTAAAATCCACTTTTATATTACAATTCCTAATTTCGTATAATTGTAAATTTATTATTATCCTAACCAAAACAAAAATTACTCTATGATGTGTTTTTTTTTTTTTTTTTGGAAAATAGAGCAACACATAATGTCAAATTAAACCAGTAATTAATTGAATCTGGTGATAAAATATTATATTTTTAATTTAAATGATCATAATTCAAATTTTGATAATTTCAAATATAAAAAAATCATTTACCTATTTAAAATTGATTATAAAAATCATCATACTTTCATAAATGTCTTAAATAACTCCATATCCTTTTATTATATCCAATTGAACTGTTAAGGTATTATTTTTTGTTTAATCAAATCTTTATCAAATGAAAGTAGTTAAAATCCATTATCGTGGTCGATATTGAAATTAAGGATATGAACAAACAAAACATATGATAAATAATTCACGAATATGTTTGATTTTATATTCATTTATTAAATATAATAAATTATTATGAACAATATTTTAAAAGTAATTAATTAAATGAATAAATTATAAGCATAATAAAATTTGTTTATCAGAGGCGAAGGTAAGAATATAAGAAAGGAAGACCAAATAGTAATTTTACTAGAGGAGGGCCAAGCATTATTTTTTTGTGGGATCGGGTATTATACTACAGTAAAATAAAAAAATTGGTCAAATTATGCTTTTCATTAAAAATATTGATACGATTGTTACTTTAGTGATGTGATTGTTAATTTTATGATGTATCATTTTAATTAGTTAAAAATGAAACTAATGATGACATAGAAAAATTAAAAATGACAGGTGGCGAATTTTATTAGTCCAGATAAACTTCTTTGCTTTTAATTAATTCTTTTCAAAAGCATTCATTTGAAATTTTTAATTACTTAAAAATTAGAAAAAAAAATTTCAAACCCCCAAATACAGATACCAAAGATTCAGAACCAATAACCTAAAATCAATTTTCTAAATTGAAGTCATCAACTTTCTGAAGGTGAAAGAATCATCGCAAAGCCTTTGATGCTGGAAACGATGCCAAAGAACCTGTCAAACTAAGAAACAGGAGAGAAATCTACTGTTGATGTGAAGAACAACTGAAAAAGGTAGTTTCTAAAAGGAAGAAAAAATAAAGTAAAAACAATCACTACAATCAGCAACCGATGGGATAAAGTGGTAAGAGCTTTGAATTTTGCTTTTTATTTTAACTTCTCATATGTGAATATGTACACCACTTTTGTTCTTGTGATAATGCAAAATAAAGATAATCAGATTTGATAATCTATAAAACACGATATAATAATATAACACGAAAATAATATAAAATAATAAAAGTAATATGATTTAAAATTTAAAAAAAATCATTTATAATTTTAACCAAAAAAAAATTTTATATTTTTATGTAAAACATAACATAAATACATGAATTATCAAAATTTTATATGAGACAATAATACACAAATTGTCAAGTCTAAAATCAGTAAACGGTTTTGTGAATGTGACTTTTAACATGCATTTTTGCTCTAAAAAAAAAAATCAATTCATATGCTAGTTGGGTATACCTTATCGTCAGTATTCTAGCATCCACCACAGACCCAAAACCCATTTTGTTTTTTCAACCTAAACAAAAAAAACAAAAAAAAAAAAAGCAAATTTGACAATAAAAAGCAACAAAAAACCACAAATTAAAAGCAAGCATAAGAAAAATCGAAAGAAGAAAAAAGAAAAGTAAGCAAGGATTCTAGAAGTTTCAACTTGAATAAGTTTTAAGAAGTATTTTTCAAATACCAACAGTGAAAACCTAGGGAAGGGTATGGACAAGGCTCAAAGAAAGTTTGGTGGCCATCGAAGGTGGCAATGGCGGTAGATTTACATTTTAAGGATTCAAGCTCTTTTGATTTTTCATGGAAAAAAGGACTTTTTGCAAAAATATAAATTGATAGATTTGTAAAAGAGATTAAGAGGAGCTTCTAGATAAATTTTGATAATATTTCGACGACAATGTATGGCTATCGATGATTGCTTGTATGCCACATGGCATTCTAATTAATCTATGTCATCATCCATTTTAATCTTAATCAATATCACAAATTAGCAAGTCAACGATCGTATCAACATTTTTAATGGAAGAATTTAATAAAGTTAATGATTAAACTAAAATTATCAAATAAATTTAGTGTGAGGACAAAATTTATATGAATTAAACTATAAAGATTAAATTTCAAATTTTAATTTAGTATAAGGACATAATTTAACTAGGGAGAGGCATGGCCTCTATTTACCCCTAGTTAAGTCCATGCTGTGCATATTCAATTTATCTCAATTGATTTTTTTATTATAAAATTTATCTAATAAAAAAGTAAAAGCAAAAAAATTTTAAAAAAAAAACTCAAAAGAAAAAGCAAAAGCTTAAAAAAAAAGTGTTACATGATACCCAAAACGAAATAAAATATTTTAAATCTATCTTTAACCTCACCTTATATAATAAGAACCTTAATTTGATCTTTGTTTTAAAAAAGTATTTATATGAAATTTGAATAAATTAAAATGAATTAAATATAGATTATTACATCTTATCTACCTCTATTAAATTTTTTTATAAAATTTAGTTAATAAAATAAATAAAATGGTTAAAAATAAATTTAATAAATAATAAAATAATATCACGTGAACAATCCCACCTCTTTTAATAAATATTATAAGTGTCAAGTCCCCCATAAATTTTCATATTATGCACGTTAACATTGATATGAAAAAGATAATGGCCAAGTAGATACTGACATGACAAAGATAAAAGTTTCTAATAGATTTTGTCCAATATAATGGCTTTACTTAAATAAAACTAGTATTTTAAAGGTTCAAATGGTAGGATAAAAAAGAATGAAAGTTTATTGGAAAAATATGAAACAGTAAAGGATTTGTTTTAGCGTTTTAACCTTTATGCTTTTATATATGTTCTACAATAGTCGTGTATTATATTCGAGAAACAAATATTATAATATTAATCATTTCAATTTCGTCATCTTAAAAAACAACATCATCTACGAAAGTGTATGAAAACGTAAATTGATTATGAATTCAATGACCATTACGTGAATAATTTTTTATCAACATAAGAATTTATCTAAATAAAAATTATAAAATAAAATTTATTTGCATACAATAAAAAAATAATTTTTTATATATAAATTTGAGATGATTCAAGATATTTATTCAGCACTTTTTAGTCTCCAACCAGGAATTTATATTTAAAAAATAAACATTCATCATTTTTTTTCTTTACTATCCAAAGAAGAAAAATGTCCCTACAAATATTTTATCTGCCTTTTTCACTATTTAGGAGAGTCTTCTAGTACTTAAAAATTTTTTTCTAAAGCAATATTCAAAAACAGCTAAAAAAAAAAAAAAGAAAAGACATTCCCTGGCCTATAATGTCCCTTCTTCGATGTAATCATGATTTTTTTTTTCTGCACTTTTTCTCCCGACCCGCCACACCCGGTTAGGAATGTCACAGCCACTAAGATAACGCCACGTATGAGATTCCCACATCAATTTCGTCGATACATTAGCGGCGTGATCATAGTGATAATAACTCGCTTTGAACTTACGCGGGGAGGATTGGCTGTACATCAATTGTGCCACCCTTGGGTCCCTTTATCTGTACGTGTACATTTCTTCGTTTTCTTAACCTTTTTGAGTTTTGATTTTGGAGGTCAGTAGAACATGTTAGCTTTAAAGATTTTGTATTTTAATATTTATTTATTCAAATGGACATTAACACCCTTACCACAATAATTTTTTCTTTCTTTTCTCTTTATAATAAATTTGATTTAATTGTTCAATTATATAATACTATTGTAACGATTTTATGTCCATTCAACGAATTTAAAAATAAAATAAAAAATAACAGAATCATCATTAATTTTTTTTTGATTATGTATGATTGATCACCTATTAAAACATATTATTTTAATAAAGTTTTAAAATTAATTAAAATTTATTAAAAAGATAATTTTAAGGTCTGCGAAATAGTTTGGGTTCGAGAGTCGGTTACGCGTGGAGAAAGATTAGCACTCTCACAACGCCCGTTAAAAACAGTACCAATTAACAACGTGTTATCTTTTGATTTTGATAAAAATAATCTAATTTTCGATGTTCGAAAAAATAATTTTCTTGATTTTTATTTTTTAGAGAAAAAAATTATTCTAGAGAAAAATAAATTAAAACATTTTTCTTGAAATAAATCTTAAAATGTTTCAGTACGTTGGTAACATTAGAAGAACTTTTTTTCACCTAGAGATTTCTTAGGCATCGCTTTTTGGAATACCTTAGAATCTCATCCTCGGAGGCTCAAATTTATTTTTCGTAAAAAAATATCATGCATACAATGCAAAATGTTACCATATTTATGCACACATTTTATTCTTCTTTGTTAGAAATTTTATTAATATTTATTTTTAACTGAATTTTTGAAGAAAAAAGAATTTAATTATATTGAAGATTTTCTAGAAATATTTCAATACACTGGTAATATTTTATAAAAAATTTTCTCACTTAGGGATTTCTTAAAGTATCTCTACTCGAAATTCTTTTAGAATCCCATCATTGGATAAAATTTCTTTTCTTCTTATTTTTATTACTTATATTTTTAATTTATTAATCAATTTTTATTTATTACTTTTTTAAAAAAAATTTATTGTATTGAAAATTTTTTTATAAATACTCCGATACACTGGTAGTATTTAAAAAAATCTTCTCACCTAAAGATTTCGTAGGCATTACTAATCGGAATACCTTTGAATCTCATCGTCGGATATAATTTTTATTTTCCTACATTTTTTATTAGTTTAGTATTATTATTGAACTTATTTTTATATTATTTTGTTTTTAAAGTTTATTTTAAAAAATTACAAAATTATAAAAAAAATTTAACCACATATTTCATTATTTAATCTAACAAATATAAATAGTTTAATATGCATAAATATTAATAAAATAATATATAAAAAAATAAAAAAATTTAAAAAAAAAAAATTTTACCTGAACCGAACAGGTCAGCAGTCCGATCAACGCGCAGTTCGGTTTAGCAGTTCAATCTGACGGTTCGGTTCAGTTTGGGCACGGTATGGGTGGCTCAACGGTTTGGTATCAATTTGGTTCGAGTTCAACGGTTCAGTTCCAATTTAGTCAGATCGGTCAGAGCTTGATGGAGAAACGGGTCGGGTGCGCGGACCTCGGGTCGGGTCGCGAGTTGATGCGTAAATCTTGGGTGCTTAAAACGATGTCGTTTTGGGGGTTTATTGAAATGACGTCGTTTTGGTTTTTACCGTTTATGTAAAAGGTTCAAATTTTTTTTTCAGCCATTCTCCTTCCTTCTCCAGAAAAAAAAAAAAAAACCCTTTCTTCTTTTTTTTTTTTCAGCCAAACGCAGGTGCCGGCTGGTCGCCGTCACGGTCGCATTGTTGGTGACCGAAAAAAAATCAAAATCACCTAAAATGTTCTACTCAACACTCTAAACATAGATCCAACTCTTTTTTTTGTCAAAAGAGTCTCAAATTTTCCCCAGATCCAACTTGAAGTTTCGGTTAAACTAATTTTTTTTATATTTGACCCCTTTTTTTTAAACTAACCTTTTTTTTTTCTTTGTGCAGGAAACTATAGGCGCTAGCTTCCTCCCTACGGGGAGGACTGTATTTTTTTTATTTTTTTTATAATTTTTTTTTGTAACGTCTCTCCTCCTCTATCTATATTTTTTTGTTGTTCGTCCATGAGCTCTATTTATAGAGCTCTGGCAATTACCCTATGCCTAAGGGAATGGCACATGGGCTAGGCATGGGGTGCAAGCAGAAGTCTCATGCCTATTTTATTTGTTTTTGGCAACATCTGACAGTGATAAAGGATGGGTGGTAAGGCATGGTAGTCAGAGGGATGGAAGGTAGGACATGGTGGTCAAAGGATGAGGTGTAGGGCTTGGTGCAGTGGTGCCTGCCACCTCGATTTTATTTTTTCTGTTCTATTTTTTATTATTTTTTGTATATTTTTGGTATTTTGTGTAATTTTTTTATATTTCATATTTTTTATTTTTTATATTTCGTATTTTATATTTTTTTGGATAAATTTGATGTCCACAAATACAATTGCTACCTTTGTTTAAATCAAAAGATTATTGCATTAATTTGATTTTTTTTATTTTGTCGAAATTTTATATTCCTGTAAACAACGAAAAAGTCCTTTTTTTTATAATTATGAAAAAAATTTCAAATATTAAATTGTTCATTGTGTTCATAATCATAAGTTATAACATTTTTCAATTACTTGCATAATTTATTACAGTTCTTTTACAAATTAACTTGTTACTACAAAGTAATAAACATAATTATAAGATAGACAATTATTATTTGTATAAGTTAGTATGAGTTTCTTATAAAAGAATTATAAACATTGAAATTTAAATTTTAAATTAATTAAATGTCATCATTTAAAGTTGATTTCTTAAGATAATTGAGTTAAAATATAAATTTAATTATTTTTTCTCTTGATAAAAGGAAAAAAAAACACAAATAAATTGATAAAAAATATATATTTAAGTAATTAATTCATTTGTACGTGAGGAAAGTAATCTCATCGCATCTAAAAATGCATATTGTAATTAATTTAGAGCCTTTACTATTGAAATAAATGAACAAAATGTTCCATAAATTTTTCCACCTTCCCTCAATAATTGGCGACATTCTTTGATATGTACATTATAATTGTTATACAAAAAATGGAAGAAGGATCCACAGTTACCTATCCCAAAAGGTGGTCTAAAGAAAGAACCCATTCCCAAAATAAAACAAAAGGAAGGGAAAACCATATACATGATATTATGAATCATGCATTACTACAAACACTGGATAGTTCTATTTATATATATTTTTAAGATTTCAATTAAAATTTAAAATAAGTCAATGGCAATATGGTAAATATAGGTAAGAGATTAGGGAAAGTTGAGTGAATAATTTAAACCTATTAATTAATATAAACCAGACCATGCAACTAAAACCTTTGTTTCTGTCTATGTCTTCTGTGCCACCTGTTTTCTTCTTCCACTCTCAGATAACTCTCTCTCTGTCTGAACACTGATCAAAGCTTTAAAAAATTTCTAATCTTTTCCACTTCCTCACGGCCTCATTACACGAGTCCACAACAAGGGAACAAAGAAAGGAAAAAATTTAGATTTTCTTGCACTTTCCTAGGAACCAAACACCAATTTCCTATCCTCTTTCCACGCACTTCAAGAAAAAAGTTTGCCTTTTTTTTTTTTTACTCAAACTGCTTCATCACTGAAATCATTCCGAATCCAATATTTTTATTTTTTTGCTTTACATTATATGATTCTTTGTCTGGCTTTGTTGGCTCAATTAGATCAGCAAAATCATGGCCTTTGATTCGACTGACAGGAAAGAGATCATCTTGAAAATTGATGACAGAAGCAATGACGGTAATATTCCGGTTTCTGCCGCTGCTACCACCGCCAGCGATGGAGGTAAGATTTGGAGAGAGTCAAGCTATGATTTTTGGAAAGATAATGAGAAGATCATCAGAAACTGGAAAAAAGAGAATGTGAACATGAATGGTACTGGCAGTAGTGGTAGTACTAGTAATAGAGAAAGTGAAGGTTTTGATTTCATGCAAAACGAACAAGCAGCCATGGAAGATCCAACATCAAAGCTGATTGGTCAGTTTTTGCATAAGCAAAAAGCTTCAGGTGAGATTTCACTGGATATGGATTTGGAGATGGATGAACTTCAACAAAAGCCACCTCATCACGGCAGTTCATTGCCTACAGTTGCTGAATCACCTTCACCTTCAGCAGCTGCTGTTCCCAGCGTGTCTTTTGAAAACAACCCTGTAAGAAGAAGACAAAGTAAAGGGTCACCATCTCCGGCAAAAGATGAGATTAGGGACTCTAGGGAGAGCGATGGGGTTGTGAAGTGTAGTTCAAGTTCTTCTTTGAAAAGAAGTGAAGGTGGTTCTTTTCAAAGGAAATCCAGTTTGTTAGCAACAAAGCCAAAGTCCAGGTTGATGGACCTTCCAACACCGGAAAAGGGGGAGCCAAAGTCAGCGAAAGCTGGGGTAGGGAAGTCAGGACAGATAATGCGATCTGGGTTTCTTGGGAAAAGTATGGAGGAAGAAGAGGATGATCCATTGCTTGAAGAGGATTTGCCTGATGAGTATAAGAAAGATAAGTTAAGTGTTTTGGTTTTGCTTGAATGGTTAAGTTTGATTTTGATTATCGCTGCTTTGGTTTGTAGTCTTACAATTCCTTATTTGAGAGAGAAACGTTTGTGGAATCTTATGTTGTGGAAATGGGAAGTTTTGGTTTTGGTTTTAATATGTGGTAGATTGGTTTCAGGGTGGATTATAAAGATAATTGTGTTCTTCATAGAGAGGAATTTTCTTTTGAGGAAAAGGGTATTGTATTTTGTTTATGGAGTGAGGAAAGCTGTTCAGAATTGTTTGTGGCTGGGGTTGGTTTTGATTGCTTGGCATTACTTGTTTGATAAGAAGGTTCAGAGGGAGACCAAGAGTGAATTCCTAAGGTATGTGACTAAAGTTTTGGTTTGTCTTGTGGTGGGTGTGATGTTGTGGCTAGTGAAGACCCTTTTGGTGAAAGTTCTGGCATCTTCTTTCCATGTGAGTGCTTATTTTGATAGAATCCAGGATTCATTGTTCAATCAATATGTAATTGAGACTCTGTCTGGTCCACCTTTGATTGAAATTCAAAGGGCAGAGGAGGAGGAGGAGAGAATTGCAGATGAAGTTATAAACCTACAGAAAGCTGGTGCTACAATTCCTCCTGGCCTCAAGACATCGACCCTTTCATCACCCCATTGCGGGAAGCTGACAGGGAGTGGAAGGATCCAGAAAAGTCCTCGAGGAAAAAGCCCAATGGTTTCACGTGTGCTTTCTTCTGAGAAGGGAGAGAAGGATGATAAGGGGATAACCATTGACCATTTGCACAAATTGAATCCTAAAAATGTATCTGCTTGGAATATGAAAAGGTTGATGAATATTATCCGCCATGGAGCTCTTTCCACTTTAGATGAGCAGATACAAGATTCAACTCATGAAGATGAGTCTGCAACACAAATTAGAAGTGAATATGAGGCGAAAGTTGCAGCAAGGAAAATCTTCCAGAATGTTGCTAAGCCAGGATCCAAGTATGTTTGTCAGTCCCGTTTACTATGCAATAAATTATGTGTCTATCTGTGCCTTAAAATATTTTCAGTCAATTTTAAATTTCATTTTACTTCATTAGCTGATTGATTGTTTTTCATCTGAAGCTTTTGTATCAATTGCATCATTTTTGTTACACTGTGGAGTTTAAACGATATAAGGGGTGAATGTCCCTGTAAAATGAGGCTCCTAGTTTAGATAGGAACTTTCAAGGGAAATCCATTATTGGTGTGCTTTTCAAAAGTCAAGTGAAGCATGGAAGCTTATGTCTATTCCAAAACACATTGCAACCGCCCACCCCAATAAAAGAAGTGCTAAAACGAAAGTGAGGACACCACTAGAATGCATGCTTTCCAAATCATTTTGATGACATTAGTACTTCTTCAAACATTTTCATCAAAGCCGTCTTGCATTTCCATTTTACCTTATTTTGCCACTGTGCGGCAAAAATATTTGATTCCCAACTTAATAATGTTAAAAATAAAAGGGGAAGGATCATAAACCCAATGATTGACCAATCAAACAACGTCAACAAGAGGTTTTTTTCCTTGTTTTATTGCTAAAAATTGCCTTCTCAGGTACATCTATTTGGAGGACATTGAACGATTTCTGCAAGAAGATGAGGCTTTGAAGACTATGAGTCTCTTTGAAGGAGCATCCGAAAGCAGGAGAATTAGCAAGAAGGCCCTCAAGAATTGGGTGGTAAGAATTGGGCAACCCATGCCTTGCAGTATGATTTACTTCTAATATATTCTCTTTTGCATATATATAATCTGTTGAAGGCATATGCCTGATTTTATATTTTAAACAACATGTATAACATCCAATTAGGTACAAAACTTCCCTAGTGGATGCTTTTTGGATTGAAATTAGGTGCCCTTTAAATAGCTAATCAAATGTTAGATTGCGGTCACATTTATCCTTGTAAGTTCCAATGGATAACAACAAAGGTGTTGGAAAACTTAGAATGGTAAAGGTAGCAATATAATATGATATACGGTAATCTAAATTAAGTGATATCTGTATTGAGTTTTAATTTTTCAATGCTGGTATCCTATTGCTGTTTAGAATTTACTGCAATCTCAATAGATTTAACTGATTATTTTTCAGAAATTAGAACTCTCTTTACTGGCTTTATTGCATTTAAATCCGAGGAAAAGAAAACCTTCTATTTTTGAAGCATTTGTTAGTATTTATTATTACAGGCTACAGCAAGGCCCCATCCCGCCTTTTTCTTTCCCCTGCATGAACACAGTCACTAAAATTGAAGTTGCATTTACAAGTTTAAAATTTGCTTTCTATGCATGCAAATGTATGATGAACTTCAATCTCTTAGGTCCATGCTTTTAGAGAACGAAGGGCACTTGCCTTGACACTGAATGATACCAAAACAGCTGTGAACAGACTTCATAAGATGGTGAACGTTCTGGTTGGCATCATCATAGTGGTTATTTGGCTCCTCATACTTGGAATTGCCACCAGCAAAGTTCTTGTTTTTATTAGCTCTCAACTGCTTCTAATTGCATTCATATTTGGAAACACCTGCAAGACGGTATTTGAAGCTATTATATTCTTATTTGTTATGCACCCATTTGATGTGGGTGACAGGTGTGAAATTGATGGAGTTCAGGTACTTAAATAAGCTTATGAAATATGTTTTTTCCTTTAATCTTTATGATCATACAAATTCTGTTTATTCAAGGTTTTTTTTTTTTTTTTTTTTCGAATGCTTGGGTTCTCAAAAGTAATATTCAATGAATTTCAGATGGTAGTGGAGGAAATGAACATCTTGACTACTGTTTTCCTAAGATATGACAACCAGAAGATCATAATCCCAAACAGTGTCCTGGCTACTAAGGCCGTCAACAACTACTATCGTAGCCCTGATATGGGGGATGCAGTTGAATTCTGTATCCATGTCAAAACTCCTGCAGAAAAGATTGGTCTGATGAAGCAGAGGATATTGAGGTGAGTAGAAAAAGATACAGTTGTTTTTCATTTCTTTGCTGTCATTTGCAAGAGTCTTTATTGTTAACTAATGGCATTGTATGGTTGTGTGATCATTGCAATAGCACATTGATGATGTGATATTTTTTAAAATGGAATGCTCTTGAAATAATTTTAGTAGTATCTTTGTTTTGTTTACTAAAGTTATTTCTTGGACTGGATATTTTGCTTCTATTGATATTTGTATATTTGATGTATCTAAGATATACAATAGATATAGATTACTTGGAATACCTTGAAATGAAATACATTTGAGAACCTTAATTGATAAAGACCTGGCCTCTGAGTAAATCGTCTTTGTTTGCAGTATTTTGGTAAGTTTATTTTGATGTTTTTTCTTGGTTGTGAATTTTGATACTACATCGTGGTATGCTTGGTCTGGTGCATCTATGAAATGTATTAGTGAATCACATACATACACTGAACATGTCTGATTCAATGGATCATTTCTTACTGCAGTTACATCGAGCACAAGAGTGACCACTGGTACCCGGCTCCAATGATTATATTCAAGGAACTTGAAGAGTTGAACAGAGTAAGGATAGCAATATGGCTCACACATAGAATGAATCATCAAGACATGGGAGAGAGGTGGGCAAGAAGGGCGCTCTTGGTTGAAGAGATGGTTAAGATTTTCAACGACTTCGATATTAAATACCGCCTATATCCCATTGACATTAATGTCTGTAGCATGCCTCCCGTGACATCTGACCGCCTTCCTCCTAGTTGGACAGGACCTGCCAGCTGAACAAAGATAACAAGCAAACTATAAAAACCATCTTTATACTCGGGAAGTCCTATTAGGTACAGTGTCAAATTTGGAGTAGATTCTACTGCATTTTGACGTTGTTTCCTTGATGGATAGCCTAGAGTGGGATGATATTTTCATTTAGATGATTAGATATTAAATTACTTCTATAATTAGGATGTTTTGGTAGATTGAACAAGTATGCTGGTGGATGATACTTCCAAATCGTGTTTTCTAAACCTTTTGAATGAAATGGCCGGTGTAAGTTGATTGGAATCCCATTCAGTCCTATTTGGGGTTGCAGAGGCATATTAATAGTGAAACTTTAACTATATCGTGAGTCCATTTTAAGTACAGGAAAATTATTGATTTTCATTCATGCAAACAGAAGTCATGAGGTACCTATTCTTGGGCCAAGACTGAGATGATCCAGAGTGGTACAAACTCTTGTTGTGTCAATCACTTGTTCCTGTTTCTTTCTAGCGTTTTTTTCACACTTAAGAGCACTAAAATTAATGGATTTATTTTGTTCTTTAAAGGTGAGATTTCAATCTGCAAACTTATGGCTTTGGGGTATGGCTCCCTTTCAGTTGCCCATCATTTACTTTACTGTATTGAAAACCATATCAAATAAAATGATTCTTTATGATACTCCATGACAATAAAGTTGGGTCTCTCAATTTCTTGCCAGCTAATCCAATCAATTTCTCAATCATTACATCCTCTGTCACAAGTCCTTGGTTTCCTTATTTTACTACAATACAGGGACCATTTTCCCAAACTGTTGCCAGGCCTAGCTGGCAGTTATATTGAGAAATAGGATATCAGGAAATTTGCATACTGGTGGTTAAATGTGGTATCAATTCCAACGATTAGTACTTTGAATTTTCAAGAATACTTCATTGTTGTTCTAAAACAGGGGGAAATGGAAAGCAAAAGAGATCACATCCACAACGGTCCCTCGTCTCCAAATCTTTCTAAGAACCAAGTTTCAAGCCTCGTGACTCTTCTGACTTCTAACACTGCTCCGCCCGGATCAGCCCTAAAGATAACTTTTTCCAGGGGTAGCTAATTGGCTTCAACTTTCAAGCCAGGCCATGCAAATCTTGGCAGAGTTGCAGAAAAAGGAAGTTTCCCCGTGAGATTTCTGGAGTAAGATTTCTAGCAATGTCTTTCTTTATCATCAAGCACAATCAAACAACGTCGACCAGGCACTGAAGTGAAAAAGTGGTTAAAGTGTTTTGACACAAACATCTTCTGTGAGTCAAACAAAATTTCCCCAGTGTTCACTTCTTAAAGGGCATAGGCAATCAGTCAAAACATCAAGGACAAACACGACGCTTATGTTCCATGATACAAATATGAACAGATAGTATTCATTTCTTATTCTGTCTTGAGGCAATGCTTTTAGCCTTTTAGCCAAGATCACCAGAAATTTTTGTAGGAAGGTCAATAGACAGACGAATTCATCACTCTTGTCCTTTAGTTAAATAAACTGACAATTGAATTCCAATTACGTCTAGGAGTTGAAATTTGTTTATATCCGAATTGTATACCAATACTTAAATTCCATTCTAATTGGAATTGGATTCACGATCAAAAAAGAAAAAAGCGACCCATAAATACCCTTTATGTTCCAAACACAAAACTAAGCAACCCTCTTTCCTACTTCTTTTTCTTCACCAAATTAAGTGATTTTCTATCCTTAAAACCTTTCCCTGATTGTTTGATAAAAAATTCTTTATATTCTTCCACTGTTTTTCAAGAAAAACATATGGGAAATTTTGAACCGGATTGGGAATATCTTCCACAACTGTCTCTTTAAGGTTCTTGGGAAATTAGATGCCCCAAGCAACTTGGTTCAATTTGGTGCAGTCAGTACGCATTGGCATTCAGTGTTCAACACTTTCCTTGACATAAAAAAGCGGTCATCGCCAAATCTGGTTCCGATGCTGTTGATCCCAACAAAAATGAGCCAGACAAAGCGGAAATTATATAGTCTACAAGCCAAAATAAAAGTCTCCAGTATTGAATTTCCAAAGTCGTACAATAAAAGAAGTTGTGGATCTTGTTATGGTTAGCCAGCCACTGTGGACGAGAACATGGTCATAACCCTTTCAATTCCTTTTAAGGATTGCATTAGCATTGATCTCCCTCAGCTTGAATTTTCCAATAGAAAGCCTATGGGCTACCAATACGACATTCAAAAGGTTGTGTTATCAGCTGACCCTTCATTGAATCAGGATAGTTACGTTGTTGTGATAATTTATAGCACTTTTCGCAGATTAGTCTTGTACAAATCCTGGAATCCCGGCAGAAAACTTGGATATATTTCGACAAGCGTCTAACGCTCCTGACTGATATTGGTTTTCATAGAATTTGGTCTTCTGTCATTTGATGTTAATGGTAATATTGACAAGGGTTTTGAGTCACCAAAGTTGAAGATAGTCGGGCCAGAAATTCCAATATCAGACTTAGAGGCTTATTCCGACCGCGCATATCTAGTTCGATCATCTAAAGGGAATCTATACTCTATGTTAGGAAAATAGGGTCCAGTCCCATATAAGTGGTTTTGGACCAAGTAAAGGCCATGGGCTTTGATCTTTTATTTTACACAGAGCTCTAGCTACTTAATAAAAAAGAGGTGGAGTTGTTTTATGTGTGTGTCGACAACCAAGCAGAGAAAGAAGAAAAGCCAGGAAAAGCAGAGAGAGAAAAAGGAGAAGGGAGAGTTGATTAAACGGAAGTCGATCCGTGGTCCGATTGAGTTGGAACCTTGTCAGGAGGTTTATGATTCAGAGTTATACATTCTGAACGGTGAAGATCGGGTTTGAAGCTCTCTAGGAACAAATCCAGGGTGTATTTGTTGAGTCACTTATTTGACGAGATTTCTTCAATTGTTTCTCTAGTTGTTGATTAGCTCTAGTTTTAGCTAGAGAAGAACTTTGTATAACTATTATTTGATAGTGAAGATTTTTCTGGTGGCCCGTGATTTTTTCCTCTACACTGGAGGGTTTTCCACGTAAATCTTGGTGTGCTTTATTTTTCCTGCGCATTTGATTATTGATTGTTGTCTATTGCTTCTGTATTGTTGTGATTATTGCTTCAGGCACAACAAGTGGTATCAGAGCGAGGGTTATTTTGAGACATCGATACAGAAGCAACCCAGGATAGAAGTAAATTCTGTTTGAGATCATAGAGGGTGATACAGGTTCCATAAAAAATTGACAGCATCAAATTATTCAATTTGGAAGCCTATGATGGAGGATCATCTATACTGCAAAGATTTGTATGAGCCAGTATTGGGTGATTCGGCTAAACCAGCAGATATGAAAGATGAAAGCTGGAAGAAGCTAGGTAGAAAGACGCTGGCTACAATCAGAAAATGGGTTGATATCAGTATGTTCCATCATGTAGCGCAGGAGTCAGATGCTCACATTGTTTGGAAAAAATTGGCAGCATTGTATGAGAGAAAAACAGGTATGAATAAAGTTATGCTTGTTAAAAAGATTGCAACTTGTAAGTCTAAACATAGATCCAAGTCTAGAAGTAAAGTGAAGTGTTTCCATTGTGGTAAGACGGGTATATAAAACGAAACTGTAGAATCTTAAAGCAAGAGCAAAAAAATGAGAAAGGCAAGAGTTCAGATGATGGCAATGTTGCAACAGTGAATTCAGATAGTGATTCAGTTACTTTGATTTGTACACATGGTGATTGTAATCATGTTAGTGATCCTGACATTGAGTGGATAGTTGACACAGGAGCGGCATATCATTGTGTTCCTAAGAGAGAGTTATTTACAACTTACAAAGCAGGAGACTTTGGTTGTACCAAGATGGGAAACAAGAGTGTGTCGTAGATTATTGGGATTGGTGATATTATTGTACAGACTAGTACAGGCTGCATGTTGACTTTGAGGGATGTCAGACACATTCCAGATATGAGAATGAACTTGCTTGCTATTAATGTCTTGATAAGGAGGGATATGAAAGCCGACAAAAGAATGGACAGTGGAAGCTTCTCAAAGGATCTATGGTAGTTGCAAGGGGAAAACTATGCTGCACAATGTATAAGACATGGATGCAATTGAACGGTAACCAGGTAAATACCGTTGAAAATGATACTTCAGCAAACTTGTAGCATAGGAGGCTGGCACACATGAGTGAAAAAGGGTTACAGGTTTTGGCAAGGCACTCTCTCATTCCCTTGACCAAAGGTATGTCTCTCGATTCATGTGATTATTGTTTGTTTGATAAGCATCATAGAGTTTCTTTTTGTAAAAGTTCTCAGAGAAAAGAAAATAGATTGGAATTAATTTATTCTGACGTATGTGGTCCCATTGAGGTTGAGTCATTAGGTGGTAGCAAATATTTTGTTACTTTTATTGATGATGCTTCACTTAAGACTTGGGTGTATATGTTGAAATACAAAAGTCAGGTACTGCAGTATTTTCAAAAATTTCATGCCATGGTTGAAAGGATGACAGGGTTACCCTTGAAGTGTATTCGAACTGATAATGGTGGGGAATACACATCTAAAGGCTTTGAAGAGTATTGCTCAAAGCATGGGATCAGGTATGAGAGGACAGAACCTGGAACACCGCAGCATAATGGTATAGCTGAAAGAATGAATCGCACCATTATGGAAAAAGTCAAATGTATGTTGAGGATGGCAAAATTACCAAAGCCATTATGGGGTGAAGCAGTCAACACAGCTTGTTACTTACTTAACAGGTCACCATCAGTTCCTTTGGGCTTTGACATTCCAGAAAGAGTGTGGATAGGGAAAGATACTTCATACTCTCACTTGAAAGTTTTTAGGTGTAAAGCATTCATGCATATGCCAAAAGAGCAGAGGTCAAAGCTTGACAGTAAAGCCACACAATGTGTGTTTGTAGGATATGGTGATGAAGAATTTGGTTACAGGGTATGGGATCCAGTAAAGAGAAAGACAGTCAGAAGCAGAGATGTGATCTTTCATGAAAAAAAAACCATAGCAGATCTTGAGAAAAATGAGAAGACTACACGAGTTACTGTTGAGTGTGATGTTTCAACACCGATAAGGATTTCACAGGAAAGAGCCACAGATGGTGAAAATGAGCCAGAAATAGAATTTGGAAATATGAATGAGCCAGTCACAGTTGGTGATGAGCCAGATGCTATTAGTTTTAAGCAGGGGGAGCAATCCTCTCTACCTGAGAGTGTTAAGCAGGGGGAGCTACCTTCAGCATCAAGTGATGTAAAGTCTCAGCCCAAGAGATCTACTAGAGAGCGCAGGCCATCTACCAGGTATCCAAGTTCAGATTTTATTTTAGTTACTAGTGAAGGGGAGCCAGAAAGCTTTCAAGATGTGCAGGCTACTCCGGATAGAGAGCACTGGTTAAAAGCAATGAAAGAAGAGATGGAGTCATTGCGAAAGAATGGTACTTATGATCTTGTTAAACTTCCAACAGAGAAGAGGCCATTAAAGAATAAATGGGTGTTCAAGTTGAAAAAGG